GGGCCACACAAACACACACACAAACACACACACACACAAACACATACATGCACGCCTGAGCTGAGAGACACACGCACACACTGGATCAACTAGAACTGGTAGAAATGATAACTAAAACACTGCGGAAACACAATCTGCAACTGTGCAATGATGTGTACAGTGAATCTCTTGAAGAAATGTACAGGTCAGATTTCACCCCAAGATCAAAAGAAAAAAGACAAAAAGTGTAATAGTGGCTAAAAGATGTTAAATATATTAATGGAAAAGCACAAGCACAAACAACAAGGGCCAAGCACAAACAGCAGTTGAATTAAAATAAAATAAAATAAAATAACAATATCAAATTATAAATAAAAGCGTATGTAATGCAGTATGCAAGTTATTGTGAACAATTGCTTATTAACCATTTCAGAATTAATTGCATTAATAAATTACTATTTGTATATACTAGTATTTGCATGTATATATGTATACATATTTGTGGAAAATAATGTCAAATAATGAATTAATATTAAAATGATTATATATATGTATATAAATGAAAAAAAGGTGAATTGTGTAATTTCTGCTCCACTATTGTCACCAAACATCTCTGCAAAGTTGAGGGGAATGTTTGAAAATTGCTTAAACATTTATTCTTCTTGCTTTTCTGTTTGTAGCCGCTATAGTCTCACACTTCACCTTTGATGATCCCAAAACAGGCTTGATTTCCTATTTGCTGAATATAATTTCCTATTTTTCTCTCATTTGATTTTGGGATGAAATATGACCTGGATGTGTTCTTGACAGTTGTTGTGAGATTCACCCAGAAACTCTCCTAAAACGACGCCTACACAGGTTTCCTCTGCTATTCCCCTCTCAAGCACACTCAAAAGAGCACACTTTGTATCCTCCCACGCACCGTATCCCCCATACTTCTGTTTTCATGGACACATTTGTCAACCTGTCAGATTGAATCTGTCATTTTTCTCTGTTGAGCGCTGCAGCGCCGCGTTACCTTCTCCCTCTGTGATCCGACTCCCGAGGACGAACGCAGCTTTTTCAGCTCTTTTTTTTATCTGTTTTATTGATTCAGATGTCCTTTCACTGTAATATTAAATTCATCTCTTACTTTGTGCTTCGAACAGAGTCCTTCCAGAGAGGGACAGAGAGACAGAGAGAGCTGTTTGGCACGTTGGGAATTTGATTGACGACTCCAAACAAAACATCTTTTGGCTTTGGTTTTGGACGGCTCGTCTGAAGCCAGTCAAACACATGAGGCTGTTTTCTCACACCAGTGTTTGATTTGTCTTTCCATGAACATTTTCTGTGTCCGTTTGCTCCCTAGTCGCCTGCTGGCATGTTTTTAGTCGCAGCAGAACGTATAGCGCAGGCCGAGGGCATTGTTCATTGTTGCTCAGTTCGTTTGGGATGTTTTTGGCATCGGTGGTGAGTTTTGTTCTGATTTGATTTCATTGTTCTCTTTCCATATTTCGTATTCAAAGGAGTTTGACTGTTCTGGCCTCAGTTGGCCGATGCTGTGATACAGAAACATTACAATACGTTTCCATCTGGCAAATGCAGATGCCCAAAACAAGTGTCTTCTAAATGTGTAAATGTGATTCAGCAGATCAAGTGTCTCTGATGCTGCGGGATGTTTTCTCCCTCATCGCTGAAGTCTCAGTTTGTTTGAATCAGATGCTGTTTTAGTGATTTTTAGTGGATGTTTGAAGGTCACACCGGTCACAAGAATTATCAATATTCACTAACCACAAACAATACTGACGTCTTCATTTTTAACATGAGATTTATCGTTTTGTTTCGAATCATACAAATTTATTTTTTTATCTCATGTTTTGTTTGAAAAGTGTGATGTGATCATTGATTTTCTGTGATATTTTTTAATCTAAAAAGTGTGTACTTTTAAAAAAAATACATTATTATATTATATTATATATATTATATTATATTAGTTAAATATATTG